TGCGAAGAAAAGTGCTCAAGGAAGAGGCTTTTCAGAATTGTAGGAGGGGTAAAGGCTTTAGTAATACAAGTCAAGGACGTACAAAACTTGGAAAGGGGGACTCTCCACGGAGGTAATGAAGGAACAATACGAGGAGAAACATTAGAAATATGAACAGAAAGAGAATCATGTAAGCGAGATAACTGGACAGAAAGTGGGAGACAATGAAGAGGAACAGGAACCACAGGAGGAGGAAAAGTCAATGCACGACAGAGGCGAGAGGAAGGATGTTGGAAGGACCGCGCAAGATAGCGAAGACAGTAGCGATCACGGCAGTCCTGAAGAGAGAGAAAGCCAGTGTCAACATACAAACTAAGGGCGGGAGTCGAACGAAAGGCACCAGAGCCGAGACGCAACCCAGTATGGTGCAAAGCATCAAGACGGCGAAGAGTAGAAGGAGAAGCAGAAGAGTATGCAGGGCAACCATAATCGAGTTTAAACAGGACGAGAGAGGAGTGCAAATAGAGGAGCGTGCGCCTATCCGCTCCCCAAGAAGTATGGGACAAAACCTTAAGGAGGTTAAAGTTGACGATTTAAGCGACAATGTGGAGCGACTTATCCCAAACATATTATTGGCTGGAGTGTGTTTGCTGGCAGATCACACTCCTGTACGTTAATCTAACTAATAAAGTAAATTTTATTCAGGAAAGTACATACATAGTTGATTTACAAACATGATGTTGGATTTATAGATAGAGCTAGTACATACAATACCTAAAAAACGTACGCATAGCGTTTCGGGCAAGGAGAAATAAACTCGCAAATTTAATAGGTGATATTAAATCAAATCAAATGTTTATTTAGGTAAGGTACATACATACAAGAGATTTTACAAAGAGTGATGGATTTATAGTTAGGGCTAGTACATACAATGCCTAAAGCCACTATTACGCAAAGCGTTTCGGGCATGAAAAACTTAAAAACTTAACTATTAGAATGCATATTTATAACTATGTTGCATAAACAGCGACAAAACATTTAAGATATATTAAAAACAAAAGTTTCAACTGCACAGTGATTTGTGTATAACAATCTCTCTAGTTGTAAGATTCCTTAACACTAACCCCAGAAATCATCTCAAGATAACCTCAAGATAGCCATCAATATTACAAGTGAATGAACTATCACTTGTCTTCACTAAAACTAAGTCCCAATTGGACTGACAAATGACAACGTTTACAATCTTCCCAAACTTAGGGAGTTCACAATGAAAATTTATTATATTATTCTGTATGGATTTTAAAGTGCAGATTGACCTGACAAGTGGTTTAGTTTAGTTCATTTGTAATAGGATCTACTTAATTTATTATGTAATAGGATCTACTTACCGAGTAAGTCTTACATTATTCCAGGATTAATTAATGACTTGCCCGAAACGCTAAGCGTACTAATGGCTGTACAAGAATGTAACAACTCTTGTATATATCTAAAATAAAATGTACCCCCCCCCATACCCATCTTGTGGGCGGTAGTGGAAAGGGTTACAGAAATTGAAATTGAAATTGAAATCAGTTTATTGAGGTAAAATACACAAAGGGATGAGGTATGAAATAGGCTTTAGGTAGCTCAAGCTATTCTCACCCCGTTCAGTACATTTATTTATTTATTTATGCATATACAAGAATGTACATAAGGAATGTGAGGATACAAATATGGTAATTACAGTCTTGTAAAGCCACTAGCACGCGCAGCGTTTCGGGCAGAAAGCATCGTGTGCATCGTGTACATCGTGTTAATACATACATAGACACACATCACAAGCAATAAACGTATTACCGAACATTCTGAGAGATAAACATATACATTTCCTCCTTTACACAAATAAGGGTTACAGAGGCATATCCATTAGCATGACCATTAGGGTGAGCGCCATCTATGTTTTGACAGCAGCACTACACATTAACCCCGCGTTACGCTATGATCAATATGTGTTAGGGTCAGTTGCTAGTCTATATATGTTTCTGGACACCGTAAGTGATGTGTGGCTTGTTGCGAGCGGAGGTCTGTAGTAACTGTTTGAACTGTGTTGGGGGAGGATGTGTCCGGGTGTGGCTGACCAGCCGGTAAGTTAAGAGTCTCTAATGTGTATTTAAGCGCGGTTTTGTAATTTGTGCTAATAACCAATTTAAGGGTGTTCTGAGATTTGATGGGTATCGATAGTGATATAAAGGTGGAGGGGGGATAAATTGTGTAATTACAAGTAAATTACCTTGTCAAGTTATGGCAATTGGCTTAAATCTATTGTGGTAAAGTTACTTTAATACAAATATTTGTAAATATAGATTTAGCTTGGGTAAAACTTAACTTGATACATGAATTGCTTAGTTTTACAAATCACTTTGATTTAACACTTGCATAGTTGAGGCAACATAGTGATAACGTTTGTGATGTGTACCTTGAATTTAGCAAAGGTTTTTTGATAGTGCCACATGGAAAAATTGAATAAAAGCACTCAATATTGGGAGTGTTGTATAAAGTTTAGGGCATGGCTAGTATAAATGGTTAGTATAAGTGGTAAAGGGACTGTTGAAAGTAGTGCATCAAGGCTCTCCTGGGACCTCGGTTGAAGATTTGAGCAGGAATAATTGCAGAATTGCAAAATAAAAAAAATGGGAAAAGAAATAAATGCTTGCCATCACTTGAGTATCTAAAGAGTTTTGAAATGGTAAAGATTGCCAGATGCAGTTTAATGCAGACAAATGTTAGGTTTTGAGGCTAGGTAATAATGGTACATATGAGCTAGATGGTGTTTATTACAAAATGGATCAGTTATGGTGATAAAAATGCATAAATGTTCATTAGGCAAATGGAACGCATCCAACATAGGATGACAAAAGTTAATCCCACAAATTGGAAACCTATTTGAAGATTGAAAAGGCTTAAATGCCTGCCTGTAAAAAGGTAAAGAATTGGTGACACGATAAGTGTGAAAGTGGACAAATGGTCCTAACAAAGGGAATATCAATGGGGTATTGAGGGTATACACAAGAAATAACCCAAAACAAAGGGTATAAATGATACATCAGCTTTAGGAAAGACCTGGGTGAACATTGTTTGGTAATAGGTTTGTTTGGTGGAACCAGTTACTGCGTCACATTGTGCAAGTGGGATGCCTAGATTTTAAACTGTAGGTTAAATCTTCAATAAGAGATTGGAAGGATATAAGGAGCTGCCTTGTATGGGCGAACAGCCCTTCTGCAGTTAGCTTTATTCTTGTTCTAACCTGCTTAGACCTAAAGTTTTAATCACAAGCCAATATGGCTATTAACCAGAAAATTTATATAATGCAATTCATTGAAAGCCGAAGTTGATAATGTAACTATGCTGTTGACTGAAGAGTTAAATAGGTGTTGCCTCACCATATGTAACTTTAATCTTGGTAATCTAGCTTACAGCAGCTGTTTCAAAAATTTAATTTCCTGTTCCTCTTGTCCTCCAAGTTTATTACTCTACTCTAAATGACTAAGTAGGGTAATTGTCTGCAGATAACATGCTCCCTTGCCATGTTAGGAACTAAAATCTACATTGTTTCATAAAATGTCTTGCCTCTACTTGTCAAATCCTGTGAAAAATATGGGTGTAGAGCAAAGGGTGAAAGACAATTTGCAGTGAAATGTTAGTATTGGGTATGGCTTCTGCCGATGTTGGCTGGCACCACTGCCTGTGAGTATTTAACTTTGAGCAGGACTGGCATGCAGTTTATAGGCTACTGATTAAATTAATTGTATTCTATTCTTGGCTATTAATGTCCATGCCAACTCTTTGGTGGCTTAATCTTCATAAATAAGTGGTGCTGCATGGGCTACTTATTGTTAGCAGTCTACATTTTGTAGGCTGGCCCCTTGTTTGGATCTGTGCTCTACCCACTTGGCTATGAGGCTGCTTATGCTATCGTGTGCAGTATTCTTGAATTACAGGCATACAGCCTGTAATTTTAAAGCCTTGTTCCCCTTGAAAAAGGGGAAGGAAGTGGGAATAGGTTTCTGCTTCCTTTTTTAAAATCTTAGGAGAAATATAGATGGGAGACAGTGCTCCAATATTATGAGCATAGTGGTGGTATCCCTAGATTTGATTGTTAAATTATCATTCATGGTATACTATTATGTAATTATAGTTAAATTGTATATGCTTTAAAAATTAGGTCTAAACATAATTTCCATAATTGTTGCTTTCCTACTGTAGATAAATTTTGTACTGTAATTGACTTTATTACCATACCAAAGTACAGTACTGGTAATTTAACTATTAAAAACATTGCTTTCTGCTGCCCAGTTGAAAACTTGTTAAAAATACTTTAAAATCCTCTTTTAAAGGTATTTAAGAAATTCTCAAATTTTGTCCTGCATTAATTCTGCAAATATTCCTAAAATTTACTGCATTTTTTGTCCTATATTAACCCTTTAATTGTATTTGCAGGTGGTAAATACTGTTTCGGCTGCTACAGCTCTCCAGCCCAGGGTATCGACTGCCTAGTCTTCAACTGCCTCCCAACATGGTAGCGAGGTCCTGAGCTGATGTACCCTATGGCGAAGATTGAGGAAGTAGTTTCCTGAAGTAATGAATGGCACTTTATAACCAGCAGCCGGCACCAGCTCTGGACAACGTCTGAGTGGACAAGGCCCAGATCCCGTGGGGAGGAAGGTCTACAACATGTAAAAGGTAGATAATCTGACCCTCCCCCCCCATTGACAGTTTCACAGGTCCCCCCCTTTTCCACTTCATTAGCTTGTAAAGCTTTATCTTAAACAGCAGCTTAACTTGGCATTTATGGCTTTAGTGGGACTTCCATTGGATAATAGTGGGTGGGAAAAGCATCTTTTGTTCTGCATTAGCATTTCTCTTTAAACCATTGATTCAATGTTGCATTCAACTTTATCTTGACATTGTTTTGCAAATTGATCAATTTTCCTTGAAGACATGGATAGCATCCTATCTAGCTTGCGTTGTACCATTTTTACTAATGTCAGTTTCATAAAGAATGAATTATTGGCTGGTATTAAATATCGTCTAAAGTAGATAAAATCGGTGTCCATGCTGTGGTATTAGTTGGGTGAACGAGATTAATGCAAGTTGTGCTTAGTTTCCTTGCCAGTTGTGTGGTAGGTTGTGAAAAGCTTTAAGGGGTCCATTAGGTATGTTTTTCAAAATGGTTAGATTTCACTTTTTTGACCCTTTGTATATGGAAAGGGTTTAATCTGGTCAATCTCGGCATCATAGAATAGAGAAATATTGAATTGGGTGTAAAAAAAAAAAAATCAGAAAAAATGGTGTCGACTGAAAGTCTGACTGGCTATCACAACAGCCTATATTAAAAAAAATTAGTTGTAGTAAAGATTTTCTAAATTCGTTTATTTTAGAATTTGCATGAAACTTGTACACCTGATGGCATGTAAGCCTATCTGTAAAGGTGCCAAGGGGTCCAGGAAATTGGTTGTCAACCTCTGCCACAGATGGCAGCACCTTACTTTATTTTGTTTAAATAACAATGTTCATAACTTTCATTTTTTAATAAATTTACATGAAACTTGCACGTTAGTGTCGAAAATCTGTAGTTGGCATTTTTTCACAAAGTTCATTTATTGATTTAATAATAGCAAGTGTTAAATTTGCATATTTTTGGGGGGCACTTTGACTATTTGTATTAGGAAAACTGAGTGTTGGAAAAACCCAACTTCATATCCTTCATATGGTCATGTTAGAAAAGTCGTAGAATGATTATCTGAAACGTGTGGTTGTGTATACACACTTGAAAATGTAATATTCGTTAAAGAGAAATTAAATCTTTCTATTTAGGCTGCAGTACTGAAACTTAACTGTTGCATCTCTTTTCATATAAAAGTCCAAAAAAATATTGGTCGACATTGAACTTTTACAATAAACTAATATAATGGTCCCTTAAAAAATAAATGTATGCAGTTGCTGGAAGTACTTTATTAGGTGGTTAATTTGCAAAGTTTGCATGACAGCCTTGTTCATATAATTTTTTTTGGTTAAACCCCCCCCCCACAAACTACATTTCTTTAAATATTTAATCAAAATGGTGACTGAATCTGAAAAGATTCCAAAAGCAGACTAGATTGGATGCAGCTTTTCTGCTGTGCTACTTGTGGCCTGCATAAATGGGAGGAACATCTGCAAAATTCCAATCTAGGGAAGTATTAGTTGGTCTAGAGGCACTTCATGGAAAGTGTCCTTAACTTTACTTTTAAATGTCCACACCTGTGGCTTTAGAATCTTTCGGCTTTTCCCCTTGTATCTCTTACTATGGTTTCTAAATTCATTTCCTACACCTGCTTAAAATAAATTGTGTATAAAGTTGAATACTGATTTAATAGTGAATTTAATGTTTGATGCATTGATTAGAAGATACGTTAAGGTGGAGCCAGTGATGATACTGGTTATCGTCATCTAGTATGTGGTTTGGTCAAAATGTATTTGGTCACCATAGTCTTCTGCCATGTTGGATGCCCTTGTATTGCTATTAAGGTTCTAAAGTGTACTTTGGGATATTTTTGAGTTTCTTGCAGAATTTGAATCTTCAGTAGGTTCAGATTTTTATATGCTGGACATGTTCCAGGAGGCTTTGCTTCGTTACTAGGTTGAATTACCTGTACAATCCACATAATGTAGTTCATTATAGGTATGAATGATACTTGGGAAAGCTATTATTCCCATAATACTTAAATATTGTGATCTATTTAATCACAAAGGTGCTTCAAACTTGCCGTTAATGTTCCTTGTCTGAGGGTAGTGAGAAATTGTCCAGACTTTCTACATGGTGAATATATTCTATAACATTTCCCTGAAAGTAATTACAAAAGTAGGTAATTATTAGTTTCTTTAAATTTGGATAAAATTAGAATTGTTTTGGTAGTTTTAGGTAGATAATTTTAGTCAATCAGATACCATGTTGTGTAATAGTTTTATTAATTATGCTAAAAAGCTTTTTATGTTGGAAGTCTTTGCACTAGTTTCCTAAGATTGGCATTAGGTGCATATTCCAGCTTCAGGAAAAGTTGTAAATAGATAATGAAATGTATATTTGTATGTATAAATGTATTTCTTTGTTGGAATATTTTAAAGGCTGTAGGTTGTGCTTATTGTAATTTAGCATTAACATATTGTAAAGTCTTAAAGGCCATGACAGTTAGGTTTATAATCTAGTATCTTGGCATAGATAGCAAACATGTTTATAAAATTTAGTATTAATTTTAGTAAGTTAATTATAAATAATTAACACTAGTGTAAAATGTGTGGTACTGCAGTTTAATAATTATGGTCCAGAATCTTGTTGGATGTTAGAATTTGAGGTGAGTGAATATTTCCAGAAAGTTGATGAACAGTGGCCATACCTATTGGAATAGATAAAAAGGGCAATTTGAAAGTCATGAGGTGACACCCAAGCTCTGGGATGCTGTATTAATTTGTTAGCAGGTAAACTTATATTGCTTGTTATGGGAGACTGGCCACTGTAATTCTCTACTCGATATACAGGCTAAATAGTCTGTACTATGAAGTCCATATGCTATTGTCAAGAAAGTACATAGGTGGGTCTTAGGTTATGCATTGGATGAGGAAAATGGGAATGTATAACTTGTCCTTGATGATAGTTGTATATTTTTTAGCTAGTATGTTGCATAATAGAAATAATTTGTGGTAAAATGTTCATTGCACACAATGGCACCAGCTGTTAAATGATATTGATCAGTGCATTGTTACTAGATTCTTGGAACTTTTCCTTGCATGGTCAGTAATTTAATATATGGTAATTATTTTAGAATTGTATACTTGCCTATTGTATTTAAGCTTATTGTATGTTTCTAAAATTTTCTAAAGTTATACTTTTACTTTAAAATTATGCACTTAAGCAGTTTATGAATATTAGTTTAATAGAAATTAATAGTATGTATACATTTATTAATTCGGATTTTCTCTTGACGGGTGGAGATGCATTATCTGCAATGACCCCTGTAATGTATTTGTTGGTAGTAGCATATAACTTTGGGTATGGCCTCTTATGTTGGTTGATGTTGTCGCTTATTGTAAATAGTGAAGAATCATGGTACGAGAGCTGTTCTCTAAGTTTATTAAAACAAGCTTTTTGGCCATTTTAGAATACTTAATATTCTTGGCACCATCTGTCTTGAGACTAATAGACTTGCATTACTAGATAATAAATTTATGGGTGTCATGGGCAGTTGACCTTCCTTATGAGCAACAAGGTGATGCAAGGTAATTTTTCCCCACACTTTGATGTAGTTGTTTAAGCCATAGTGTGGTGCGTGGGATTGAAGAAATAATCACCGCTCCACATTGTGATAAGATGGATTCCTGTTGCATTGAAGCCTGCAAGTTGAATAAATGTTTTGGCAAATATTGTAGTTATAATACTATACACTTGTAATACTTATTATAAACACTGTATACTTAATACTGTTAATTTTTTTATTGATATATACCAGTTTATATTGTTAATGAGTAATGATTATAGCTTGGTGAAAGGGTGGTTATATTAATTTTAGAAGTACTTTGTTAAAGCAAATGTTCGTTTGAAGGTAGTTGAAGTGTAATTCTTATAAATTACCCATTTCTAATAGTCGGCAACATCAATTTTAAAGTATTGAAGGCATTGTAGGAAGTCTTTCCCAAAGTAAAGGTATATTGGGGTACTTAATGTAGGTGTATGTAAGCTAAAAGTTGAAAATGTGAATAGAACATTAATGTTGTATAGATTGTCACTGCCCATCCTGTAGATATTAGTCATGGCAAGTTGTCTACTAAATGAGGTCCCCCCCCCCCCACCCCAACCCTTTCTTGCTTGTCATGAGGGAGGGGGCTTGGTGTGCAGCTGCTGGAATGATGCTCCATGGGGTCAGTCCTGTCATTTAGAGGCCTTGTGCTCCTGTTGCTGTCTTCACCAATTTTGCTAGACACTTTAACTTTGTTTCAATTTTCTAACCCCCTCTTCTCATTTCCAACTAATCATTTCCTGCTGACCTTTTGCCAGTCTTGATTATTCTTTGACTTCTCTTTTGATGCATGGGTTTTTCGGGAGGTATACTCTCCTGTCTAGAGTGAGGGGGGACCCCCTTTTATCACTCGTCCTTTCGTCGCTGAACACACTTTACACTGACGGTTCTTAAGGTGGCGTACAATATCAGTTTAGTCTCGTTGGAGGAATTGCTTTGAATAGCGCAAAGAATTTTCACTTGTGAAGTGGGGTGTTAACTCTTAAATTGAATAAAATCTGAAGTAGTTTATTTATAATTAAAATTATATTTAAATGTAAATTTGTCTGCTTAATTTTCAGTTCAGTTAATTGTTTGGCTAGAAGTTTGTATCGTATATAAATTTAACAAGCGTGATGCATCAAATGAACGATCTAAATGGGCTGTGTTCAAATGTCAGAGGATTGCAGATGCACCTTAATTGACTGTGCCATGACATGGTAAAAATTACAACTGGGAGGTCTACTGACCTCATGGCTCCAGGTTTGAACCGTCATGGATTTGTTAATCTAAATTTTTTAAAGTTAAAGAATTTCATAATTGAAAGTAGTTACAGAATACAAATTAACTGGTACCTGTACTTGATCTTTTAATAATATAACTGAAGTTTAAATAGGCTTTTTCTTTCAGAACATAGATTGGAAAGTCCTAAACTACATTCCTGGAGTTTGAAGGTGTCGATTGACATTCAGAATCAGGTGTGTGGTAGTATTTTAAACAGATTTGCATTATATTAAATAGTAGTTAAAATCTCTCATTATGGCTAAAGATAAGCTGAATGATTGCGTATAATGTAAAGAAAAAATTGCCAAGAGTCTGAAGTATCTTAAGTTTAATGTACTCGAACTTGGATAATGGCTACTCAAACTAATTTTTTTTGCTTGATTAGCATTAGTGAGGTGAGAATATTAACATTTTGGTAATTTGAAAGGAACATTATCTATTGTGAATTTGTGTAAACTTGCAAAAGTAAAATAAGCCCAATACAGAATTTATAAGCTAATTTGGTTAAATGTTTCTAATGCTTTTATAGATTACAATGGTATCCAAGCATTGACTGACTTGAAGTGTGGCTGTTCTACTCTGCACATCTATGAAGCTGGTATGTTGAATTAGTTTTAGCTATATCAATTGCTGTACCAATATGGGGGATCCTAACTAAAAATTTGTTTGAAAATAAAATTTCAGTAGCATGCCTTTAATTTTTAGTTAAAAGGGCTTTATTCTAGAATTTATAAATGAAAGATTGTGGGGGAAGTAGCTAATTTATTGTAATTTTAAAAAGGCAAATATTGAAGTTTAAAGATAATTCTTTTCTTTGCACAGCAATTTTTAACCATATTTAATGTTTCATTGACAGGTTGTGGAGGGTCCTTCCAACAATTTCAGGGATGGTGTACAGAACAATTGGTGAAAGTTATGCTACAGAAAATAGTAGTTGTGTATGAGAATTAGTTGGTAAAAGTAAGTTTACTGATATAATTAGTTTAATAGCTAGTTGTTAAATATTTAGGTGAAATATGTAATTGTGAAGGGGCCTTGAAATGGGAAAATAAACTAGTTCTAGGCCTTGACAAGCGGGGTACAATATCAGTTTAGTCGTTGGAGGAATTGCTTTGAATAGCGCAAAGAATTTTCACTTGTTTAGTTGGGTGTTAACTCTTAAATTGAATAAAATCTGAAGTTGAGTTTATTTATAATAAAATTTATATTTAAATGTAAATTTGTCTGCTTAATTTTCAGTTCAGTTAATTGTTTGGCTAGAAGTTTGTATCATATATAAATTTAACAAGTGTGATGCATCAAATGAACGATCTAAATGGGCTGTGTTCAAATGTCAGATTGCAGATGCACCTTAATTGACTGTGCCATGACATGGTAAAAGAATTGCAACTGGGAGGTCTACTGACCTCATGGCTCCAGGTTTCAACCCTCATGGATTTGTTCATCTAAATGTTTTTAAGTTAAAAATAATTTCATAATTGAAAGTAAAAAGAAAGTTACAGAATACAAATTTACTGGTAACTGTACTTGATCTTTTCATAATATAACTGAAGTTTAAATAGGCTTTTTCTTTCAGAACATGGATTGGGAAGTCCTAAATTACATCCTAGAGTTTGAAGGTGTTGATTGACATTCAGACTCAGGTGTGTGGTAGTATTTTAAACAGATTTGCATTATACTGTATTAAATAGTAAAGTTAAAATCTATCATTATGGCTAAAGATAATCTGAATGATTGCATATAGATAATGTAAAGTAAAAATTGCCATGAAAGTCTGAAGTGTTTCTCAAGTTTAATGTACTCAAACTAATTATTTTTGCTTGATTAGCTTTAGTGAGAAGCTGACAATATTAACATTTTGGTAGATATTAAAGGAACGTTATCTATTGTGAATTTGTGTAAAATTGCAAAAGTAAAATAACCCCAATATGGAATTTATAAGCTAATTTGGTTAAATGTGTCTGGTGCTTTTCTAGATTACAATGGTATCCAAGCATTGACTGACTTTTAAGTGTGGCTGTTCTACTCTGCACATCTATGAAGCTGGTATGTTGAATTAGTTTTAGCTATATCAGTTGCCGTACCAATATGGGGGATGGAATCTTAACTATAAATTTGTTTTGAAAATAAAATTTCAGTAGCCTGCCTTTAATTTTTACTTAAAAGGGTTTTATTCTATAATTTATAAATAAAAGATGGTCGGGGAAGTAGCTAATTTATTAGTGTAGTTTTAAAAAGGGAAATATTGAAGTTTAAAGATTTTTCTTTGCACAGCAATTTTTTAACCATATTTAATGTTTCATTGACAGGTTGTGGAGGGTACTTCCAACATAATTTCAGGGATGGTGTACAGAACAATTGGTGAAAGTTATGCTACAGAAAATAGCAGTTGTGAGAATTAGTTGGTAAAAGTAAGTTTACTGATATAATTAGTTTATTTAGTTTATAAATATTTAGGTAAAAAATTATGTAATTGTGAAGGGGCCTTGAAATGGGAAAATAAACTAGTTCTAGGCCTTGACAAGTGGGGTACAATATCAGTTTAGTCCTTGCAGGAATTGCTTTGAATAGCATAAAGAAAATTTAAAATGTAGTGTTAATTCCTAAATGGAATAAAATCTGAAAGGTATATAAATATTTAAAATGTAATTGGTTTGCTTAATGTGTTTGGTTTTTAATTATCTGGCTAAAAGTTTGCAATCTATAAATTGGAGTGATATCTCAAATGAACAAATCCACAAGGGCTGTGATGGTTCAAATGTGTGAAGATTGCACCATGACAAGGTAAATGAATTGACTGGGAGGCTTACTGACCTCATGGCTCTAGCATTCCTGGTTTGGTGCCTTTTGATAATTACTTACTCATGGCTCCTGCAGTTGGATATAGGTTTGAACCCTCATGGATTTGTTCATCAAAATGTTTAACTTAAAAGGATATGTTCATAACTGCAAGTAAAAAATTAACTGGTAACTGTCATGTTTTTAATATAATTGAAGTTTAAATAGACTTTTTCTTTCAGAATATGGATTGGGAAGTGCAGAATTACATCCTGGAGTTTGAAAGTGTTGAATGCTTGACATTCAGAATAAGGTGTGTGGTAAACATTGTTTTAAACAATCTAGCAATATAGGTAAACATAATTTGAAATGATGGTTGCATGTAGATAATGTAAATTAAAAATTGCCATTAAAGTCTGAAGTATTGTTCTCCACTTTGATGTACTTGTGGCTACTCAAACTAAGTTTAATGTCAATGTTTTTTGCTTGATAAGCATTAGTGACAAAATCCACTAAAATGTTAATATTGTAAGATTAAATGAACATTATCCATTGTGAATTTTCAAAGTGACTGAAGTAAAATTAGCCCAATACAGAATTTATAAGGTAATTTTGTTAAATGTGTTTCAGGTGCTAATGAAGATTACAATGGTACCAAAGCAGTGAGGCTATTCTACTTCACACATCCAATAAACTGGTATGTTGAATTACATGTTTTAGCTATATCAAATAATTAATTTACCTTTTCATCTAGTCCATTTATAGATGTGTACCAAAGTCCTACTGTTACCACCTGCAGGGATTGATGCAGTTTGTACTGATCCTACCCCATTTCATAGAAGGGGACCAGGCAGTCCTGCAGATTTCCCTGGCTTGGCTTTTTCAGAGCCCTGCTCTACTACCCATCCAATAGATGGACTAGAATTGCATAGGTGTAGGGACCCTTAACAATGTGCAAACATTGTTAATAACTACAGGGCTTGTTCACTGAAAGAGTGGATACATCCAGAGGTTTAGTGCCTGGAACATGATGTACATAGGCTTCACAAGAAGCCTATGTACATCATGTTGAGGGCACTAAACCAAAAGATGTTTTGCACTCTTTCAGCCAACAAGTCCTGCCTCAAAATGCAAGTAAGGGGTAGGCCTTGCTGAGCCAATCTTAAAAGATTGGGACTTAGGGGTTTTGGTGCTTATAGATAGGTGTTAGTGTTAATAAAATGAGTGTCCCTGTTTGATATACTTTATTTTTCTTTTACAGGTGGATGTTCTTGTTACTCTGGAGTTTTCCCTGTCCTTTTGGAGTCTTCAGTGGATTGCATCTAGGAGGAGCAGCTTCCCACAACCTGAAATGGACAATAGTCAATATTAGATGTTACACTGTATACTATGCAATAAATATTCTAATGAAACTACTTTATACTGTGTACTTTATCCTGAAATTAGCAAAAATTCTATCATTCTGGAAATTACTGATGCAGAGTCTAATATCTAAAGAACTTCTGAAATTTATAAATAACTTGAAAAAAGTGAAAAGTGAAAATTATTGGCTAATTGGTAGGTGTTAGTATATTGAACAGGGACACTCACTCTTTTTCTTTTACAGGTGGATGATGTCTTTGGTACTCTGGACATTATCTTGGCCTTTGAAGTCTCAACCTGAAACATAAAATTGTCTTAGTTATATTGTACACTATTTAATAAATCATTTAATGAAACTTTATGTACTTTATCCTGAAAGTAGCTATAATTCAACTTGCTTGAAATTTATTACTAATGCAGTCTTCCTAACAATGACATCTAAAGAAAACTGATATAATGCATTAATTTAAACCTGCATGTATAAGAGTTACAAGTTTTCATAAAGCTAATGTAGTTTATGAGAACTTAAACTTCATAAAGCTATTATAAACTTACACATGAGCATCTTAAGCATACAAAACTGAAATCATTTTGACCACTTTTTAAAACTTTGCATTCCAAACTGAATTAACCTGATAAAATTTAAAATAAATTATAATATAACTACCAAATTTCACTTCTAAAACAAATGTATGGGCTAAACTTTCACTTATCAATGATGTTGCATAGCTTATGTAAAAATTTAAGTCAATGGCAAGATTGAAAAAAAACTAAATTTAGTTTAATGTGCCTTACTAAATGTCACACCTTAGCCCATTATAGTAATCACATTGATTATGTATTAAAACTACAGGAAACTATACAACTTTCATACTTGCTAACAATATTGTCTAATGCTGGACAATATCAAATGAGACCAAACACTACAATTTTCTACTAGTCTAAGAAAATAAAAAACTTTAGAAATGTCCAATCTGTGTTAATATTTGCTGCACTATGAAATGTCTACCAAATATTTGGAATCAACACTAAATTCACATGCCAGACAATCCATTACCACAAATGTTTCAAGCTGCTGATTATAACTATTTAAAGATAGTGTATACATACACTGCCTGTAACAAGCACCATAAATGGGAAGAGCTTTTCAAACTAAAATTATAAAAACTTCAGATACCTGGAATTCAATCTAAGCTCTTAAATGAACTTTCCATTCAAACTTATTGCCACTTAAACTCGCTATATAGGTTCAAAGCTATTCTCAACTTTATCTGGATTTCAAATGTCACTTAAATTTGTTAAACTGCCAACCAGAAAAATTCTGATTACTTTAACCTCACATCTGCAAGGTCCTGAAGGGGAGATTCATTCATAGTCTTGTAAAATCAACAAAATGGTTTGTTAAAAAATGAACTCTTTTTAAAGATAACCAGCTATTCGCACAAGACTATTGGTACACAAGTACTTTGTTTGCTAAAGCACCATATGAAACACTAGGAATGAAATACCAGGCACATAGAATAAATGGTAGAAAGGATAAGTAATTATCAAAAGAAGGCACCAAACCGGGAAGGCTATGTAGCACCATCAAATGCGCAAAATAATCAGAGGGCGCTAAATATCACCAAGGATGCCAATACGAGAACAAAAACGCATAAGGCGAACGATATTAAAAGTATCTGAGTCGCCAAGAATTCTATCGAGGGACAGGTGACCGCGAGGGGCGGTCGGAAAGCAAGACACACGCTCGTCCTGGAAGTCAGGACATTCAAGAAGGACATGCACGACCGTAAGAGGGACAATGCAACTAGGACAATAAGGAGCAGGGCGGCGTTCCATCAAGTGACCATGGGTTAAGCGAGTATGGCCAATACGCAACCTCGCCAGAGCGGTTTCCCACCGCCGGTTACGGTGGAAGGAGGACGGCCACGAGGAAACACAACATTTAAGAGTACGTAGCTTGTTACCAGTAACGGACAACCAAGAAGCCTGCCAACGGGTAAGGACTGAGGAATGGATAACCGGGTAAAAGTCGGAATACGGAATGCCTTTACGAGAGATGGGACAAGAGCGGACAGCTTCCTTGGCGGCAGCATCCGCACACTCATTTAAAGACACACCAATATGGCTGGGAACCCAACAAAACTCAACCGACTTAAATTTACTGTGAACGAGAAACAGCCAATGCTGGATCTCGACAACTACTGGATGAACCGGATTAAAGGACCCGAGAGCCATGAGGGCACTACGAGAGTCAACAACAACTACAAAGGAAGACTGACAACGAGAAAGCAGGAGACGAAGAGCATAGAGAACAGCATAAAGTTCCGCTGTAAAGATGCTAGTCTCCGGAGGCAAGCGACACATATAAGTGCGATCAGGAAAAACAACAGAGTAGCCAACACCGTCCGCTGACTTAGACCCATCGGTGAAGACAGAAACAGAGCGGGAGTGAGAAGAAAAGTGCTCGAGGAAAAGGCGTTTTAGAACCGTAGGAGGGGTAAAAGCTTTAGTGATACGGGTCAAGGATGTACAAAACCGCGGAAGAGGGACCCTCCACGGGGGCAAAGAAGGAACAACACGAGGAGAAACATCAGAAATACGAACGGAAAGAGAATCCTGTAGGCGAGATAACCGGACAGAAAGAGGGAGGTGGTGAAGAGGAACAGGAACCGCAGGAGGGGTAAAAGTTAAAGCACGACAGAGGCGAGAGGAAGGATGTTGCAAGGACCGCGCAAGATAGCGAAGACAGTAGCGAGCACGGCGGTCCTGGAGAGACAGGAAGCCAGTGTCAACATACATGCAAAGGATGGGAGTCGAACGAAAGGCACCAGAACTGAGGCGCAACCCAGTATGGTGCAAAGCATCAAGACGGCGAAGAGTAGAAGGAGAAGCAGACGAGTAAGCAGGGCAACCATAATCGAGCTTAGACAGGACGAGAGAGGAATGTAAAGCAAGGAGTGCGCGCCTATCTGCCCCCCAAGAAGTATGGGACAAGACCCGAAGGAGGGTAAGGGCCTTAGAGCACTCAACACGGAGGTAAGAGATATGGGGAGACCAAGACAAACGAGTGTCAAGGAATAACCCCAAAAGCTTTGCGGAATCTTTGTATTCAAGGGGATGACCATAAAGGGACAAAGAGGGACGAAGAACAACCCGTTTCCGCGTAAAAGTCATGGCACAAGTCTTAGAAGTAGAGAACTTGAAGCCATGATCTGTGGCCCAAGACGACACGGCATCAATTGCAAGTTGAAGCCGGCGTTGAAGGAGAGGCGAATCATCACCCTGACAACAAAGGGTAAGATCATCGACATAGAGAGCGGAGAAGACACCAGAAGGAAGAGAGGAAAGAAGACCATTGAGGGCAACCAGAAAAAGAGTAGTGCTCAGAACACTACCCTGGGGCACACCTTCGTATTGCTGAAAAGAGGGAGAGAGAGTGGTACCAAGGCGCACCCGAAAGGAACGACGAGAGAGGAAGCTGCGGAGAAAGAGAGGGAGATGACCACGAAGGCCAAAAGAATGAAGTTGAGATAGGATATGATAACGCCAAGTGGTGTCGTAAGCCTTTTCCAGGTCAAAAAGGACGGCAACAACGGAGGTCTTCGCAGCAAAAGCAGTACAAATATAGACCTCCAAGTTCACCAGGACATCTGTCGTGCTGCGGCACTTGCGGAAACCAAATTGAGAAGGGGAGAGGAGGTGATGGTGTTCCAGGAACCACATCAGACGAACGTTAACCATACGTTCAAAGAGTTTGCAGACACAACTTGTGAGAGCAATAGGGCGAAAGTCCTTAGGGGAAGTACCCAGAGACCCCGGTTTGCGAACAGGGAGGACAACGGCATCGAGCCAGTCCTCAGGGACTGACGACGACTCCCAGATCCGATTATACAGACTCAGTAAATACTGAGACGTGCTCGGAGGGAGATGGCGAAGCATCTCATAATGAATACCATCGGAGCCCGCCGCCGTAGAACCGCAGAGGGCCAGGGCAGAACGAAGTTCAGAGAGAGAGAAGGGATCATTATAGGGAAGCTGAAGATGAGTGCAGAAATCTAAAGGTCGAGACTCAAGGACAGGTTTACGAAGAAGGAAAGATTGGGGAAGATGAAGACCAGAGCTAACAGAAGAAAAGTGGGAACCCAGTTCGGAAGCGACCTGCAACGGGTCCGCCACAAGAGCATCATGGAGGTGAAGGACCGGTGAAACATCGGGAACGAACTTACCCGCTATCTTGCGGATTCGCTTCCAGATCTGGGCCAGAGGGGTTTCGGACGTAATTGTTGAGACATAAGATGCCCAACATTCACGTTTAGCCGTACGGATGGCCCTACGGGCCACCGCACTCGCTTTCCGAAAGAAAAGAAAAGAATCGGTCGTCTGCCTACGGCGGTGCCTCTTCCAGGCTGCACGTTTACAGCGGACAGCCCGAGCACAGTCCGCATTCCACCAGGGAACGCACTTCCGTGGACCCCAGGAGGAAGAGCGAGGGATAGAGCGGAGGGCAGCGTTGAAGACAGTGTCATGAAAAAGGAGGAGAGCGCGAGAGAGAGGCAGAAGGGAGAGGTCAGAGAGAGTAGCACTGAGGGAAAATAGGGTCCAGTCCGCCTTAGCAAACTGCCACCTAGGGAAAGAGAGGGAAGGGCGAAAAGAGAAAAAGGAAACAAGGATGGGGAAATGATCACTTCCATGGAGGTCATCAAGAACCTGCCACGTGAAATCTAAGTAAAGAGAAGAAGAGCAGAGAGAAAGATCAAGACAAGAAAGGGTGCGAGTCCGAGAGTCCAAATGAGTGGGCTCACCAGAATTCAGAAGAGACAGGGAAGAAGAGAGGAGAAACGGCTCAAGAAGGTGACCCCGGGTATTCGTCAGAACGTCACCCCAAAGAGAATGACGACAATTGAAGTCACCCAGCAGGAGCACAGGCTCCGGCAAGGAGTCTAGGAGGTGTTTCAAATCAGGAAGAGAAAGCGGGACACTCGGGGGGAGATAAACGGAACAAACAGTGTACCATTTCCCCACAAAGACACGAGCAGCAGAACAATGGAGAGGTGAAGGAAAAAGTAAAGGAACAAAGGGAACATCAGCACGAATCAAAAGAGCAGAAGAATTAGAAGCCCCAGCAGCAGCTGGGGGGGGGGGGGGAGAGAAAGGAATAGCCACGAAAACGACCAGGACGAGCACCAAGCATCGGCTCCTGGAGACAGACACAAAGGGGCGAAAACCGCGAAATCAGAAGTTGGGGTTCGAGGAAATTAGCGTAATAACCTCAAACGTTCCATTGAAGAATGGACAACGACGAGAAGAGAAAGGACAACAACAGAGAACAAGGAAGAAACAAAGGCGAAAGAGCAACAGAGCACGTTAAAGAATATCAGGGTCGGGATCAGGGTCAGCAAAGTCAGGGTTAGGGGGCATGGGTAAACTGAGCAAAGACGGAGGGAAGGAAACGGGAGAACAGATCAGAGGTGGGCGGGCGGGGTCCGGAGGAGGAGGAGGAGGAAGAGGAGGAGACAACGGAGAGGAGCAGGCAAGGACAGCAGCAGGAAGAGGAGGGGTAGAAAGAGGGGAGCGTACCTCAGCAAGGGCAGTAACTGAGAGGGAAGCGGGGGCTAAAGAAACCTCCATAGCAGGAACAGGGGGCGCAACCACCGAAATGGGAGGGGAAGGAGCGAGAGAGGCAGAAGTAGGGGCCGAGGAAGAAAGCGAAACCTTCTTACCCGCCGGGGAGGAGGAAGGAGAGGAGCCAGGTTTACGCTTCTGACGTAAAGAGACAGGTGTTCCAGCAACCACGTACTGGGCAACGGATTCTAGCGTCTCAACAGGAGAAGCTGAACGAGAGCACACATGACGGCCGTTTGGAGAGCGATGGATATCAGCCCGCACCGACAGGCGGCGGGGAGAGTCAAGAGACGGAGGGGAAGGATGGGAAGGAGGAACGGAGGGAGACGAGGAAGAAGACACAGGAGACACGACAGACCGGGTAGAAGGAAGGGGAATCCCAGACAGAGGACCAGGAGGAGGATCCTTCGGGAGAGAACCCAAAGGAACAGAGGAGGGGGCAGTGGGCGCATCAGGGTCCAAGGCCCGGAAACGGTTGTGAGTCTGAGGAAGGCGGGAAGGACGAGGAGAGGAAGAGCGCAACACGCGAGCATAAGAGATATTAGCATAAGGCGGGAGCCGGCGAACCTGGCGTCTCGCCTCAGGAAAAGATAAACGCTCCCGGTGCTTCAAGTTGAGGACGGCTGCCTCAAGCCTGTAATGGACACACGCACGGGAGAAGGCAGGATGGGCCTCACCGCAGTTGAGGCAACGAGCCTGGGGAGAAGTGCACTCCGACTTAGAGTGACCTTCGCCACCACACAAAGGACAGAGAGAGACAGTCCCAGAACAGCGGAGGGCACCATGCCCAAACCTCCAGCACTTGTTGCAGAGCCGAGGAGAAGGAATGTACTCCTGGACAGAGCACCTGGCACCAGCAAGAATGACAGAGGGTGGAAGGGTCCTACCATCAAAGGTAATCTTCACAACCCGGAGGGGTTGACGGCGACTACCACGAGGGGGACGAGTAAACGTGTCCACCTGGAGAATAGAATGGCCCTGGGCAGCAAGGATATGCCGAATATCGTCGTGGCAGTCGCGCAGGTC